GTATAAATAACTTTATTACGCTCCCCCTCCCAATCTAGTTGTTACTCCTGCCCTGTAAGTCACATTAAATTTAAACACAGTGTAGAAATAACTTCATTACGCTCCCTCTCCCCATATAGTTGTTACTCCTGCCCTGTAAGCTACTTTAGATTTAAACACAGTGTAGAAATTACATTATTACGCTCCCCCTCCCCATCTAGTTGTTACTCCTGCCCTGTAAGCTACTTTAGATTTAAACACAGTGTAGAAATTACATTATTACGCTCCCCCTCCCCATCTAGTTGTTACTCCTGCCCTGTAAGCTACTTTAGATTTAAACACAGTGTAGAAATTACATTATTACGCTCCCCCTCCCCATCTAGTTGTTACTCCTGCCCTGTAAGCTACTTTAAATTTAAACACAGTGTAGAAATTAAATTATTACGCTCCCCCTCCCATCTAGTTGTTACTCCTGCCCTGTAAGCTACTTTAGATTTAAACACAGTGTAGAAATTACATTATTACGCTCCCCCTCCTCATCTAGTTGTTAATAAAACAAAAGTTTTTAATAAAACAAAAGTTAAATTTATTACCAATTATTCAATCAATACATATCATAAATTCTAATATTGGAAACACAATGCAAAATGGATGTCTTAAACTATAATTTTGTTGTGACTAATAATCTATTGACTTTCAAAGTTGAATTTTAGTTAAGTATGAAATGCCACCACATCATAGTTAGGGTAAAATGTTATTTTTAAATTTTAAAATTGAGAAGATTGCTCTATGGCTTAAAATTTAAAATTCTAGCAAAAGATATCTTATTTTTAAATAGTTGGTTACAGTTTATGACAGTACTGACATGAACAATTTTATTGTGGCTGGTAAAAGGACCCAGTTGCCTGTAAGGGCTTTACCGAACCCCAGGGGACCACAATGTGATAATATCAGGCCAGATGTTTCTATGTAGAGCAATTACTGTTACTCCTGCCCTGTAAGTAACTTTAAATTTAAACACAGTGTAGAAATAACTTTATTACGCTCCCCCTCCCCATTAAGTTGTTACTCCTGCCCTGTAAGCTACTTTAAATTTAAACACAGTGTAGAAATAACTTCATTACGCTCCCCCTCCCCATCTAGTTGTTACTCCTGCCCTGTAAGTTACTTTAAATTTGAACACAGTGTAGATATTACATTATTACACACCCTTCCCCATTTAGTTGTTACTCCTACCCAGTAAGTAACTTTAAATTTAAACACAGTGTAGAAATTACATTATGACACTTCCCTCCCATTACATTATTACGCTCCCCCTCCCCATTTAGTTGTTACTCCTGCCCTGTAAGTAACTTTAAATTTAAACACAGTGTAGAAATAACTTTATTACGTTCCCCCTCCCCATTTAGTTGTTACTCCTGCCCTGTAAGTCACTTTAAATTTAAACACAGTGTAGAAATTACATTATTACGCTACCCCTCCCCATCTAGTTGTTACTCCTGCCCTGTAAGCTACTTTAGATTTAAACACAGTGTAGAAATTACATTATTACGCTCCCCCTCCCCATCTAGTTGTTATTCCTGCCCTGTAAGCTACTTTAAATTTAAACACAGTGTAGAAATTACATTATTACGCTCCCCCTCCCATCTAGTTGTTACTCCTGCCCTGTAAGCTACTTTAGATTTAAACACAGTGTAGAAATTACATTATTACGCTCCCCCTCCTCATTTAGTTGTTAATAAAACAAAAGTTTTTAATAAAACAAAAGTTAAATTTATTACCAATTATTCAATCAATACATATCATAAATTCTAATATTGGAAACACAATGCAAAATGGATGTCTTAAACTATAATTTTGTTGTGACTAATAATCTATTGACTTTCAAAGTTGAATTTTAGTTAAGTATGAAATGCCACCACATCATAGTTAGGGTAAAATGTTATTTTTAAATTTTAAAATTGAGAAGATTGCTCTATGGCTTAAAATTTAAAATTCTAGCAAAAGATATCTTATTTTTAAATAGTTGGTTACAGTTTATGACAGTACTGACATGAACAATTTTATTGTGGCTGGTAAAAGGACCCAGTTGCCTGTAAGGGCTTTACCGAACCCCAGGGGACCACAATGTGATAAGATCAGGCCAGATGTTTCTATGTAGAGCAATTACTGTTACTCCTGCCCTGTAAGTAACTTTAAATTTAAACACAGTGTAGAAATAACTTTATTACGCTCCCCCTCCCCATTTAGTTGTTACTCCTGCCCTGTAAGCTACTTTAAATTTAAACACAGTGTAGAAATAACTTCATTACGCTCCCCCTCCCCATCTAGTTGTTACTCCTGCCCTGTAAGTTACTTTAAATTTAAACACAGTGCAGATATTACATTATTACACACCCTTCCCCATTTAGTTGTTACTCCTACCCAGTAAGTAACTTTAAATTTAAACACAGTGTAGAAACTACATTATGACACTTCCCTCCCATTACATTATTACGCTACCCCTCCCCATCTAGTTGTTACTCCTGCCCTGTAAGTAACTTTAAATTTAAACACAGTGTAGAAATTACATTATTACGCTCCCCCTCCTCATCTAGTTGTTACTCCTGCCCTGTAAGCTACTTTAAATTTAATCACAGTGTAGAAATAACTTTATTACGCTCCCCCTCCCCATTTAGTTGTTACTCCTGCCCTGTAAGCTACTTTAAATTTAAACACAGTGTAGAAATAACTTTATTACGCTCCCCCTCCCCATTTAGTTGTTACTCCTGCCCTGTAAGCTACTTTAAATTTAAACACAGTGTAGAAATTACATTATTACGCTCCCCCTCCCCAACTAGTTGTTTCTCCTGCCCTGTAAGTCACTTTAAATTTAAACACAGTATAGAAATTAGACTATTACGCTACCCCTCCCCATCTAGTTGTTACTCCTGCCCTGTAAGTAACTTTAAATTTAAACACAGTGTAGAAATAACTTTATTACGCTCCCCCTCCCCATTTAGTTGTTACTCCTGCCCTGTAAGTCACTTTTGATTTAAACACAGTGTAGAAATAACATTAGTACGCTCTCCCTCCCAATCTAGTTGTTACTCCTGCCCTGTAAGTAACTTTAAATTTAAACACAGTGTAGAAATAACTTTATTACGCTCCCCCTCCCCATTTAGTTGTTACTCCTGCCATGTAAGTCACTTTAGATTTAAACACAGTGAACAAATTACATTATTACACTCCCCCTCCCCATTAAGTTGTTTTCCTGCCCTGTAAGTTACTTTAAATTTAAACACAGTGTAGATATTACTTTATTACACTCCCTTCTCCATTTAGTTGTTACTCCTGCCCTGTAAGTAACTTTAAATTTAAACACAGTGTAGAAATAACATTAGTACGCTCTCCCTCCCCATTTAGTTGTTACTCCTACCCAAGTAAGAGATATTTACCCTCTGTAGCACACATTTTGCTATTGCACACATTTTCCGACACTTGTAAAAATTTCGAGCATTTTCGACACTTGTAAAAATTTCACGGATTTTCGACACTTGTAAAAATTTCACGGATTTTCGATACTTGTAAAAATTTCGAGGATTTTCGACACTTGTAAAAATTTCACGGGTTTTCGATACTTGTAAAAATTTCGAGCATTTTCGACACTTGTAAAAATTTCACGGATTTTTGATACTTGATAACCGTTTTACAAACTCTATTGCTGAACCAATCACTCCTTTTTTTACTATTATCTGTAGATCTAAAGAGTAACTCTCTATGATTAGAGTCTGAAGATCCAGAAAACAGTTAGTTCTTTTTAACTATTGTCTGCAGTTCCATAAAACTTTGTCAGCCTCTATTGAATAGATCTAGAATAGAGAAAACAGTCAACCCTCTGGCCTCTCTAGATATTGTTAACAGTGCAAACGGTCTCTCCTCGAGTGAAGTTATTGTATGAACCATGAAGATTAATTAACAGCGTACGAAGTTTTTCATTTTAGATAGAGCAGATGATTGAACCGAGCGGTGAGCTTGTAAAATTCAATAACTCATTGTTCAACCAACTTGATATCCACCACATGGAAGCTAAATTCTTCACTTATCTGATCTAAAAACTACCACACCCCTGCCCTACTAGACTTTAACGCATTCATCACAAACTCGTTCCTTTATTCAGTCCTTAGATGAAAGTACTGTTTACTGATCCAGGTGCACGATAAACTCATTGTTCAACTAGCTCACTGTCTATTGCATGGAAGCTAAATTCTTAGAAGTTTAAATTTATCACAGATCATAGTAACAGAGTGAAGTGTAGCACAGTTTACCTACCATACTATCTTAATGCAAGCTAGTAAGGTATCTTGATGCAAGCAAACTACAGTGAATTTTTTTTGGACTGCCTTATTTAACTTGAACGGTGACAAATTTTATTTTAATTTAAATTTATCACAGATCATCGTAACAGAGTGAAGTGTAGCACAGTTTACCTACCATACTATCTTGATGCAAGCTAGTAAGGTATCTTGATGCAAGCAAACTACAGTGAAATTTTTTTTGGACTGCCTTATTTAACTTGAACGGTGACAAATTTTATTTTAATTTAAATTTATCACAGATCATAGTAACAGAGTGAAGTGTAGCACAGTTTACCTACCATACTATCTTGATGCAAGCTAGTAAGGTATCTTGATGCAAGCAAACTACAGTGAAATTCTTTTTTGGACTGGATACAAGTAAGCAGAAAAGGAGGAATGTTGAGCCCAAATGAAATGAGCACAGCCGTTCTTATGTAGCTGCTCCACTTCCAGTTCACTAACATTCGGTTCTCTTTAAGTTTAAGTTCTTTGTTTAAGACTCTGAGACGATATTTAACCATGAGCGATCGGGATCACCCTGAAAGTGATATATTAGTTTGTTTTTTTGTTGGTTGTTTTTATGATTTAGTATATATCTACAACTATCACTACAAATGTTCAAATACTTTACTGTCGTTAATTTTTATGACCAGGTTATTAATGTTTTAAACTATCTGCTTTTTTAATTGTTTACATTAAATTCTCACTCAGAATGATTATAGAAGGTGCAGTTACCTTTATAAATAGTGCATGTAAAGGACTTGTTAAACTTGTGATAAAACTCAACTATATATCAACACCTTTATTCAGGGCGCTGAGAAAATCCTGTCGAAACTGAGAGATATTGCACCTAAGGAGGCTTGGGAATCTATTCTGAAACTGCTTCTCATTCAGGAACCATTTGAGGTTGGTTTTATATGTGAACAGTCTGTTAAAATGTTATCATGTTTTATATTATCATCTTTTATTCAGATGCATTTAAAATTAGGTAATATTCTGTAAAAGTGGTATTTATTAATACTTTTACATGTTGCCATTATATTTTAATCTGAAATAAAGTTTTTATATTTCAGTCTGAAATTGTGCCTCAAGATTCCCTGGACGTTTTGATAAAACCTAAGTTCGATTTTGTGGGTAGATTAAAAGAGTTGATAAAACCGTTTATAGAGAAACGTAAATCTGGTTGGGAGACCGTTAGTTCTACTTCTACTCCCCCTCCCCCTGTTACCATGCCAGCTTCCTCTACTTCTATCACAAGACAAGAAATTCTACTTCGAGCTGCTAGTAATAATTAAGTGATAAAGATATTTTTGCTATAATTCAAAGAATTAACTATCGTGATCTCAATTTACTGTAATCATATTTTGTAATACTAATTCTAAAATGTTTCTTTCCCCTTCTAGTTACAACATGAGTCCATGTACTTGAAATAAAAATAATAACATTTATAAAGTATATTTAATAAAGATATAAAAATAAAGAATCTGAAAGATATTCGAAAGCTCTGCTAAATCACTGGTAGCCCGACTATCACGCTGTGCAGTATGAGTCGAATTATATTTTAATAAAGATATAAAAATAAAGAATCTGAAAGATATTCGAAAGCTCTGCTAAATCACTGGTAGTCTGACTATCACGCTGTGCAGTATGAGTCGAATTATATTTTAATAAAGATATAAAAATAAAGAATCTGAAAGATATTCGAAAGCTCTGCTAAATCACTGGTAGTCTGACTATCACGCTGTGCAGTATGAGTCGAATTATATTTTAATAAAGATATAAAAATAAAGAATCTGAAAGATATTCGAAAGCTCTGCTAAATCACTGGTAGTCTGACTATCACGCTGTGCAGTATGAGTCGAATTATATTTTAATAAAGATATAAAAATAAGAATCTGAAAGATATTCGAAAGCTCTGCTAAATCACTGGTAGTCTGACTATCACGCTGTGCAGTATGAGTCGAATTATATTTTAATAAAGATATAAAAATAAAGAATCTGAAAGATATTCGAAAGCTCTGCTAAATCACTGGTAGTCTGACTATCACGCTGTGCAGTATGAGTCGAATTATATTTTAATAAAGATATAAAAATAAGAATCTGAAAGATATTCGAAAGCTCTGCTAAATCACTGGTAGTCTGACTATCACGCTGTGCAGTATGAGTCGAATTATATTTTAATAAAGATATAAAAATAAAGAATCTGAAAGATATTCGAAAGCTCTGCTAAATCACTGGTAGTCTGACTATCACGCTGTGCAGTATGAGTCGAATTATATTTTAATAAAGATATAAAAATAAAGAATCTGAAAGATATTCGAAAGCTCTGCTAAATCACTGGTAGTCTGACTATCACGCTGTGCAGTATGAGTCGAATTATATTTTAATAAAGATATAAAAATAAAGAATCTGAAAGATATTCGAAAGCTCTGCTAAATCACTGGTAGCCTGACTATCACGCTGTGCAGTATGAGTCGAATTATATTTTAATAAAGATATAAAAATAAGAATCTGAAAGATATTCGAAAGCTCTGCTAAATCACTGGTAGTCTGACTATCACGCTGTGCAGTATGAGTCGAATTATATTTTAATAAAGATATAAAAATAAAGAATCTGAAAGATATTCGAAAGCTCTGCTAAATCACTGGTAGTCTGACTATCACGCTGTGCAGTATGAGTCGAATTATATTTTAATAAAGATATAAAAATAAAGAATCTGAAAGATATTCGAAAGCTCTGCTAAATCACTGGTAGTCTGACTATCACGCTGTGCAGTATGAGTCGAATTATATTTTAATAAAGATATAAAAATAAAGAATCTGAAAGATATTCGAAAGCTCTGCTAAATCACTGGTAGTCTGACTATCACGCTGTGCAGTATGAGTCGAATTATATTTTAATAAAGATATAAAAATAAGAATCTGAAAGATATTCGAAAGCTCTGCTAAATCACTGGTAGTCTGACTATCACGCTGTGCAGTATGAGTCGAATTATATTTTAATAAAGATATAAAAATAAAGAATCTGAAAGATATTCGAAAGCTCTGCTAAATCACTGGTAGTCTGACTATCACGCTGTGCAGTATGAGTCGAATTATATTTTAATAAAGATATAAAAATAAGAATCTGAAAGATATTCGAAAGCTCTGCTAAATCACTGGTAGTCTGACTATCACGCTGTGCAGTATGAGTCGAATTATATTTTAATAAAGATATAAAAATAAAGAATCTGAAAGATATTCGAAAGCTCTGCTAAAACACTGGTAGCCTGACTATCACGCTGTGCAGTATGAGTCGAATTATATTTTAATAAAGATATAAAAATAAAGAATCTGAAAGATATTCGAAAGCTCTGCTAAATCACTGGTAGTCTGACTATCACGCTGTGCAGTATGAGTCGAATTATATTTTAATAAAGATATAAAAATAAAGAATCTGAAAGATATTCGAAAGCTCTGCTAAATCACTGGTAGTCTGACTATCACGCTGTGCAGTATGAGTCGAATTATATTTTAATAAAGATATAAAAATAAAGAATCTGAAAGATATTCGAAAGCTCTGCTAAATCACTGGTAGTCTGACTATCACGCTGTGCAGTATGAGTCGAATTATATTTTAATAAAGATATAAAAATAAGAATCTGAAAGATATTCGAAAGCTCTGCTAAATCACTGGTAGTCTGACTATCACGCTGTGCAGTATGAGTCGAATTATATTTTAATAAAGATATAAAAATAAAGAATCTGAAAGATATTCGAAAGCTCTGCTAAAACACTGGTAGCCTGACTATCACGCTGTGCAGTATGAGTCGAATTATATTTTAATAAAGATATAAAAATAAAGAATCTGAAAGATATTCGAAAGCTCTGCTAAATCACTGGTAGTCTGACTATCACGCTGTGCAGTATGAGTCGAATTATATTTTAATAAAGATATAAAAATAAGAATCTGAAAGATATTCGAAAGCTCTGCTAAAACACTGGTAGCCTGACTATCACGCTGTGCAGCATGAGTCAAATTATATTTTAATAAAGATATGAAAATAAGAATCTGAAAGATATTCGAAAGCTCTGCTAAATCACTGGTAGCCTGACTATCACACTGTGCAGCATGAGTCAAATTATATTTAATACAGAATGATACGAAGCTATGAAGAGCAAACAGTCAATCATCATCTTATTGCAATTTACAAGCAGACGGTCCCATCCGCTCTATCGAGTTTGTGTTTCCAATGCCCCCAATGGATGTGGACCGGATTGTAGTTTAAGGCTACAAATCTGACTATCTCATGATACGGCTGGGCATTGTTTGTGTGAGATAATGGTAAGATCGCTTGTAAGCAAAGGGTTCCAGCAAGGCGGGGATTCCCGCTAAATATAACAAAATAAGAGAGTATTCTCTCTAATTCCAAAAATTGAAAAATGACTGTTTGCAATTCATACTGCTTCAATGTTATTATCATCACTGATAATTATAATAATGAAACCACTAGTACTGAAAGATAAAAGGATTAAATTAGGTGGGAATTCCCACTATATTTAATGTAATAGGAGAGCACTCTCTTCGTTTACTTTTTTTCTCTAGTTATACTACTGTTTGAATTTACTTGTTATTCTATTTTAATTTTAAATATTATCTTATTACACATTTTGCTACTATCTTTTCTTGCTATCTATTTTTAAATGGTTAACCATACTTTTTTCTTTTTTTATTTTTGGGGAAAATTTGCCTTCCTCAGCTGGTCGTTACTTTATTTTTCTAATATTCTTATCATTTTAAAACTTTGATCAGCTGCAGGGGGTGAATTTGCGTCAAGGTTCTGTAATATGAACCAGTTTTCACAGAAAAAAGACCGCCCGTAGGTGGTGAATAGCCACATCCTTCACGAGGTGACCCCGTTCTCTGCATTTTATTTTACTCTACTTTTTGACTTATATTTTTATTTTCCAATGCAGAGGTTACTAAATACGGCGGATCGGTTATAAAATACTTAGTACTATATAAAGGCTTAAAAACAGACCTCTTATCACAAAACTATTAGCATGAGCGAACTGACTTTTAATGTAACACGAGCCTTGAATGACTCTGTCATTGAATTTAAGGTTAGAGCCCCTGAAACACAGTTCAACGGAACCCCCGAAGAAGGGTTGGAGGTGCTCTTGGGGGTGTTGACACGATAATAGAGCACTCCATACAACGACGGAACTGTTTCAAGTTCCATGTCACTTTGGACGGAGTATTTCAGGTATTTGATTTGCTACTAACAATCTGTTAAAATAGTGATAAGGAAACTTTCAAATCAAAAAGAAGTGGTTTAACAAGAAAAAATATAGATAAATAGAAGTTGATATATTTCATTTACAGAAACATATAAACGGTGAAGAGCAGACATTTGGTTTCAAGACACGAACAACTGTGTGCCTGAGATCATCAAATAAGGATGAGATGATCAATGAAGTTCGAAATAAACTCTTGAACTCATACGAGTCTTTTCAAGGAATGGGTTGGTAAAGTTTTCTAATTTTTATTTCATTAACCTCCAACTACCTTGACCCTAATTAAACCAAGTTGAGTTACGTTAAAATTGCAGATACAAAGATTACTACAATTAATCTCAACAGGTAGCGGTTGGATATGGAGACGATGGCCAATGGTTACAGTGCTGGTCATAAAGTACAACCCTGTATCAGGATGATTGATTGAGTGATTGATTAAAGGTCTATATAGGGATCACTATAATGTTGAAAATTGTTGTTTTATATCTTACTAATTTCAATTAACTTTAAGAACTTTCAATAGTTTAAAACCACAAATCAATAACAAGAGTGATTGAAATTTAAAATGGAGATAGAAGACATATTGCGTTTTAGTTTGAATTATGACGTGATTTAAGAATGTAATTAACCATGTTATATATAACACTCTATATAACATTATATAAACTCTCTTAAATTCTAGAATGTCGACTTACTTACCAACTCCCAAACCGTTGAAAAAGAGAAGATGTCTGTTGAACATACGGAATAAAGATGACAAATCATTCCTTTATTGTATTGTGGCTGCTTTGAAAAGACCTGATAGAAACCCAACACGACCAGGATTCTATAAGCGTTATGTCAAGAAACTAATCACGACAGGTATATATCAAATATTAACAATTATAACATATGCAACCATCACGTGACTGTAATAATCTAGTGAATATCTAAAGCTTAGTGAAGAATAGAAAATGATACTTGTACCCGCAGGAATCAACGCACCAAAACGGTTGGAGGACATCCCCCTGTTTGAGAAACAAACCTGTAAGTCCCTTTATCCATATAATAAAGCAACTTTCCTAATTACACATTCATAATATTTTTAAATTTATCTTTATTCTTATATCAACTACGATTTTCAGGTATATCCGTCAATGTTTTTGGTTACAGTGAGAGTGAGCCAAGAACACACATTTTCCCCATTTACACGACGAACTTCAAGTTTAAGAGGATAGTACATCTTATCAGTTTGACAGAAAGAAATAAAACACATTATGTTCTGATCAAATCCCTATCAACATTTTTGAGATTGGTCACGAAATACGAGAAAAGAATGTTGACATGTGAAAGATGTTTTAGAAGGTTCACATCCAAACGTTTTTTTGAAAAGCATGCAACGTTCTGTGAGACAGGAGAACCCTCTGTCTTCATGCCTGAAGACCCTGTATTGAAATTCAAAAACTTTCAATACAAATTTCCCTGTCCTGTGGTCATGTATGCCGATTTTGAAGCCTATCAGATCAGCATGAACGAGAGCACCGGTTCAAAAAGCTCAAACATCGCTGAACAAAAACCAACAGGGTTCGCATACATGATCGTGTCACCTCATGATGTTCTTTGTAGACCATTGAAGTTATATAGAGGTGAAGACGCAGCCGCAAAGTTTGTAGACTGTTTGATAAATGAGTGTTACGACATAGAGGATATACTCAACGAGGTGAAACCGATGGAGTTCACAGACGATAACATGGTGCAATTTCAAACAGCAACCAACTGCTCAATCTGTAAACAAAGCTTAATTTGGAGCGATTTGAACAATCCTGTTGTTCGCGATCACTGTCATATTTCAGGTTGATAAGTTAACTTATACTATTGATTAATACAAACGTTTACAATTGAAATATAAATCTAAAATTGATTATCACTAATGTGACATCTTATTCAGGTTCATTTCGTGGTGCCGCTCATTCTCAATGTAATTTGAAGGCTTGTCAACAAAAGAGGTTGTTTGTCTACTTTCACAATGGGAAGGGTTACGACAATCATTTCATTCTAACAGCTTTAGCTGATGACAAGAGAACAGGTACCATAGAGGTTATTGCCAATACTGCTGAGAAATATACCCAGATTAAGACCCAAAGATTCATAGTCCATGATTCAATGAGTCACCTCGTTGGCAGTCTAGATAATCTCTGCAAAAGCTTGCGACAGAGGGGCTTGGATGGGTTTAATCTAATGCGAAACGAATTCCCCCTCGATGATCAATTTCGATGTGTGTTGCAAAAGTTAATCTACCCCTACGACTATATAGACGGGTTTGACAGATTCGAGGAGCCAATTCCTGGTAAACCAGCGTTTTTCAACAAACTCACCGATGAAGATTTGTCTGACGAAGATTATGACACACTCTTAAGAATTTGCAAAATCTTCAATATAACTACTTTAGGGGAACTTCACGATTTGTACTTGAGGTGAAACATTAATTACATTTTAATGCTCTTATTTTAATAGCCTATCATGTAACCCTTTCGCGATTATACTCAAGAAATCGCATGAGTTTGATATGTAACCTTGAATTCCCTCCTTCTAGAATTTTGATAAGCTTACGAGTTGAATGATATTTTCCTGCCTAATCTAAATTCATGCTTCAGAGTGGATGTTTTGATACTAGCATGTGTCTTTGAGGACTACAGACGGTTGGGTCTTGAAATGTTTGCTATAGATCCAGCGTATTACATAAGTTCACCAAGCTACTCGTTTGACGCTATGTTGCATCTAACGAATGTTGAGTTAGAATTGTTGACAGATGTGAACATGTATGAATTCTTTGAAAAAGGTTAGTTTCCTAATGTAGGGAGTAGATTATTTCTTCATGTTTTTCATATTAATAAAAATACAGAAACCTTTTGAACTCACTTGAATATTGATTAAGGATTTTTCAGGAATGAGAGGAGGTTGCAGCACAGTTTTCAAACGTCTAGCCACAGCTAACAACAGAGGTCTACAAAGATATAACGATCAAATGCCTCAGTCATCGATTTTCTACACAGATTGTAATAACCTGTACGGGTAAGTTTTAAAATAAATTAACTGGCAAGTGTAACTCAATTAAGTGTAAATCATATTAACTACATTCTGTTTAGCCTTATCTGGTCTCTGTTACAAGGTTTGTAAACTGGATCGGGGTAGATAAGGATGGTTAGTTTAGGTCTGCACCATGCTTTCAACCATGCACCATGCTTTCAATATCATTATTTTCCTCTGCAGGTATTGCATGCAAATGAAGCTGCCCCACAAAGATTTTAAATGGTTGACTGAGCAAGAGATATCCTCTCTGGATGTCACAAAGATCGACGTTAATGGTGATACAGGGATGATTTTGGAGGTTAGCTAAGAGTTTACTTAATTATTTCAAGACTATATAGTGTAATGTTTCTGACTTCATTACATTTATTCTAAATTTTTACAGGTTGACTTAGAATACCCTGACTCACTTCATTCGAGTCACAGAGATTATCCCTTGGCTCCGGAGAGGTTATCTATAACAAAGGATATGCTGAGTGAGGAGACGAGGCAGTTTTTGATGATTTCAACATATCATATTCAACCCAGACCAGACTCACGCAAACTGTCTTACCTAAAACGAATTATGTCACGCATGTCAAGAACTTGCTGTTTTACACACAACAAGGACTTGTTATCAAAAAGATACATCGAGCTGTGACATTTTACCAATCTTCTTGGATGGCTGAATATATAAAAACAAATACTATGAAGAGGATTGAAGCCCAAAACAAGTTTGAGAAGGATTTCTTTAAACTTCTGATAAACAGGTGATTATTGACGGAAAAAATAAGTTATTTTTACTATTTTCAGAAAAACGCGAATCTTTAAAATTTTGTTGCTAAATCGATAATTTCAGTGTCTTTGGCAAGACCTGTGAGAACGTTAGAAAATATCGAAAGTTTGACCTGGCAACAAATGAAAAGCAAGTCAAACGCCTCTCTCAAAGAGTTGAACTAAAGTCTGCTGTCGTTGTATCCGAAAATCTCGTCATTTTTGAGTCAAACAACCTTGAGATAACGTTAAACAAACCTCTTTAGCGGGCATGGAAAGGGTGTTTAAATGATTTTAATGTGATCGCTTTCTTTATACGTAATTTATCATTTTTTCCAAAAAAAATTTTGCAAGCTCATTTGTAATTGCCTTTTTTCCAGTGATTTTGGAACTTGAAAAAATCCACATGTATAAATTTATTAAAAAAGTTATGCGACCTGTTTCCGGGGAAAATTGAGGTTATTTTCTACTCAATTCTAGCTTAACGAAACAACAACAACCATTACTGATGTTCTTATTTTTCTATTTAAAATTTAAAAATTTCAGTTGTGCTACGGACACGACTTTTCTATACCACATCAAAAAGGGCGATTTACTGAAAAATTTTGGGAAAAATACCCAAATTTCAGGGATTCTAAAACTCCCCTGTGAACATTTCTCTATTCCATTAGAATAAACCCCCCCGGGCAGTTTATCAGTCACAAAATCAAATTAAAAATCAATGTAGAAATTAGGGTTGAAGGCACCCGAATTTAATTTTTTTCACTTTTTAGATTAAAGGGACGAAAGGGGCATTTGCAAAAAACCCACAGTTTGCGGGGTGAAGACCCCAAATGCTACTTATTACAGATAAAAAACGAAATGGAGCCGGGGAGTGAAAGAAATAGCAAAAGGATGAAGCATGTTTTTTTGTAGAAACTGACTTTTCATTTTTTAAACATTACTCAGAACACCCTATACAAAAAATCAAAAATTTTTTATGAACAATCGAGAGAATAGCCTAAGTTTTGTAGAATTAAGGGGTTGTTTTAGGAATGAATTTGCACAATTCATAGGGGTATAAGGATATTTGATTGATTTTTTTTGTTGTATCTTATTTATTTTAGGTTATACAAAATAAAGTCGCATTTTTATTCGTTTAAAAATTAAAACGAAATGATAATAACAAAATCTAAAAACAATCAACTAAATCAAAATTCCAACAAATCAAAAAAACACCAAAAAAAAAAATTAAGTTTCAATAAAATTTTTATACCCTACATTTTCCCTTGGCACAATATCTGGATTGGGGGACCTAAACATTTGCACTGGCAACCCCGGGGCATCTGAAATCCATTCCTTACATTTGTAATATAGTTGTTGGTAGAATGTTTTGAAAAAATTTTCAAGTAAACGTTGTAGGAAATACCAGATATTTTGAAATCCCCAAAAATATTTTTATCTTCTCGGGGGAAACCCACATATGATGGAAGGTTGGGGTTCTTGGTGGATACCAAAAGGGTTCTTTTTTCAAAACATTTTGATCCGATTCAAGGGGTTTTCCCAAAAGGGTATGGTTGAATTATTGTTGAAAACATCAAATTTCTGTGACGATAAAACCGCTCGGTAAAGTATATCCGTTTAGTATGTAGACATTCAGTTTTAAACGTTCTGAAATTTCCAAAAAAAGAAATGAATGAGAACACCACCTCCCCCTTTTAGCTTTGTTTTCTTTATTTTAACCCATACCTCAGAAATCAACTGCGTTTAAATGTTGATGTATCTCCCAAAGTAAATGCTTGAGGAAGCTTTTTAATAGAAAATTTTTTTCCAAGATTACATAAAGACGCATTTTTTTTAGGGTCGGAACTATGGGGCAAGCTTGGCGAAAAAAATTTTGTAAAATGTTGGAAAAGGAACCAAAATTGCTCGGGCTTTTTAAAAATGGTTCTGAACCATCCAAATGATATGATGGTGTTGGTGGAGAATTTTTTTCATTCCACTTACAACCGGACTTTGAAATTCCATAAAACGCTTTTCTTATCACATTTTCGGTAGGAACCCCAACCCCACCCAACTTTATCGAAAAAATTCATTTAAAACGAATTCAAGAAGTTTTAATGGAAATGAACTATTTTAGGGTTAAATTTTTCAACAAAATTTTTCACGCTTGGGTTAATATTGGGTCAAAATACTTGAAACACAGAAATAAAAACTCTGCCAAAATTTAGGATGATGTTTAAACCAAATCCCCAATTAAACGTATGGTATTTTCCATGTGAAGGCAGCTTGGCTTGAAAATTCAAAAACCGGGAAAAAACCTGTTGAGGAAATTTACATTTTAGATAGTACTTTTATAGATATATAGAAAAGTTTAGTGCAATTTTTTTGTACTACACCGATTAGGACATCAACAGTTGAACTGACCATATACCTTTAAGTCTTAAGCTTTTCAATATAAAAAAAAAAGTTAGACATCAGTGAAAGTTTTAGGAACTTTAGAAATTTACTCCATCAGAAGTTTAAAGGATTTTTACCCATGTTTTATAGCCCTCTTTTAGATTCAAGGAATACCATACTAGCACTTCAAAAAAATATCCCAATAGTTTTAAATTATTGTATTTGCAATTTGGGCAGAACTTTTTGTAGTACATTCTTTCAATTCATCTATAAAGTACGGGGAAAAGCGGTGTTGTAGTTCAATTTGGAAGTGTCTAAATTTTTTGTTAAATTCATAGTTTTTCATCAATTTCAAATCCAATCCGGGAAAAATTGAATGTTGATTGTTTTAATTGCCGCCTCAAAAACGAAAAAGTTTTCTCCCTGGTTCAAATATAGTTTTACTTTTTCCTGTGACCTAAACAATGACACTTTGATTTACCCCCAAAGAAAAAATATTTTGGGGGCCTTTAAAATTTAACAGGAACTTGAATACAAAAGAAAGGGGTTGAGTTGAAATGGAAAAAATTGAATTCTTTTTTCCCTTTTTTTAAATTTTAGTTTGTGACACATGTTTTTATACCCAAATTTAAAAAATTTTATTGTTATGGTATCTTGGCAAATTGAAGAGTCCTTGATAATTGGGGGAAGGGGTTAAAAAACCCCCCCCGCTTTTCTAAGAATTTTTTTTGCATTTGGGGGTGGCCGTTTGTAGCTCCCCCACACGTGGGGTTTTCTTTGTTCCCTGATCTCGTGTGGTTGAAAAAATGTTAGAAACCAATGACAAGCTAATAGTAGTTTCGCAGGGGCGGTAAATTTTTTTAAATTTAAATTTCATAATTGAGGGTTTTTGTTAATTTTTAAATTTAAAAAAATTCCTCCATTGTTGTGAAATTTAAAAATTTCGCTTTTGTGAGCTACTCAAATCTTCGCACATCTTTCAACTTGAAGTTTTCGGGAAGAAGTTTTATTTTTTTTTTTGATTCTCGTTCAAAATAATTTCCCTTTTCATGTGTATATTCAAATCTTTAGTAGTTTTGAAGCACTCTTTTTTTTACACCAACCTTTCATCTTTTTTCACCCTTCATTTCTTTACCAAATCACGAATTTATTTATAATTCTTTTTAGAAATCTTTTTCTTTCTTGTGCTTTTTTTTTAATCTGTATCTTCTTTTAAATATTTTTTCAAATTGTTTTTTAAAAGCAAAACCCAACTTATACAATTTCTTGTTAAATCTATCAATATATAAACCCTGTTAGACCCATCATTTCCATCTTTGCAAGTGTAACTACCTGAAGTCCTTTATCCCCTTTCCATCATCATCAAAAATGAAAATTTTCAGATTATCTCAGTTTGCCCACGATGTTTGTGGAGTGGGATAAGTTTTGATTTATGTCTTGGGTTTCTTTTAGGTGATTATTTTTGTTCTGGGCTAAATCCGTTTTTTAGCAGGGGATGTGTTATACCCTCTAGATCGTTTTACCGAAGATGATGAACCAGGGAGGGTTAACCAAAGGGTTTTTCGGTTTGGAGAGCAAGGTTTGTGTTGATACAATGTAGCGTTTGTTGGGTAAGATTTCCCACACTTATCACATTGTAAACCTTTTTAAAATTACAGGAACTCGGGGGTTTTTTTAGACAAGAAATATACATGAAAACAAAATGAATTTGAAAGACTTGTTAGACCCTCCCTTTTCCCGGGCCCTTTACGGGAAAGAATCCTTAACAAAAGCTTAAAAAATAAAGGCCTTTATAATTAAACGTAAAAAAAAATTTTAAAGGGCATTGACAGCTAAAAAACCCCAAAAACCCATAAAAAACCTTTTTTAAAAATGGGAAAATTTTGGGCCCAAAGGATTGGATACTTGTATCAGTGTGATTTAGTTGACCCCCGAGTTTACATCAACACAACGAGGGTTACAATGGATTGTTACTAAAATCATACTTTTAGCAAAAAAGATGGGCCTTAAAATGAAAAATAAGAAGAAATTTGTTGTAGTTTAGGGAAACCCTTTTTTACGCAAAACACTCCACAAAAAAGCGTTTGATCAAGGAAAAGAGTTTTACAAAAGAATTTTGCGTTTATTAAAAATTTACGTATAAAACCTCAGTGTTTATAGGGGAAAAAAAAGGGGGCAATAGTTGAGCGGTTCAATAGAACTTTAAAAAAACGCAAATGTTTAAGTATTTTACGTCTAAGGGTATCCCTTGGATCGATGTTTACAAATCTATTAAACATACAAGAAGAAACAAACCCAAAGCAAAACCCCCAATAATAAATCTGAAATAAGATTATTCGAAAAATTTTTTCCCTAAAGTGAAAAAAAAAATTAATTTAAAAAAAAAAGCATTTTCAAAGTGGGGGTACGGAAAGGGGAAAACAAGGCAAAAAAAAAACATTTCAAAAGGGTTATAAATTTGGAGTCACGAAGTGTTTACAAAATCAAAAAAAGACCTTTCCTATCAATGATTTGAAGGAATAAGGTAAAGAGTTAAAGGTTTTCATTTTACACTAGTGAAATACAATTGGGGGATAAACTAAAGATTTAAAAATTAAAAAATTTTTAGATAAGCGTACGAACGGGTAGACCGAATACTTGTAAGGGGAAGGGTTATCCGACGAAAAAAAAAAACCTTTGGAAACCTCAATTCGATCTCTTCATTTTGATCCGTTTTAAGTTTCTAGCCTCCACAACTGCAAATTTTTTGCCAAAAAGAGTAAAAGACTAAATTCATTTTGGAATTATCAAAAAAAATAGTACACCCCTGGCCTAAACGGATTTTTAATTCAAAATAGAGCAGAGTTTTATGAAAACTTGGAATGATG